TTGGGAGTACCCTGCTCCGTGTTAGGAGTACCCTGCTCTGGGTTGGGATTGCTCCTAATCGCACAGAGCTTGGCTGCCCTGAGCCCTAAGGCTGGCGTCCAGGCGTTAGGCAGTCTGTTTATCTGGGAGGTGTTACGGCGGCCCTGAGAGCTCATGTGAGCCCATCTGCGGAGCAGTTTGACTTCTTAGAAGAAGAGACCTCCTGGGTCACCCCAGAAACGGAGCAGCGAGCTGGGGCCCTGAAGCAGCCCCCGGGCGCCTCGCTGGGGCTGGCGCGCGTTCCCACTGGGAAGGAAGCACGGGCTCAGGCCCAGGTCCCCTCGCTGCAGGAAGGGAAGTTCCTCTAGCGCCCTCCCCCCTTTCTCTGGGGGCAGACTTCTTTGTCTTCTGTGATGACCTGTGTTAATGTAAATGAGACAGACTCTCATTCAATGAAGTTGGCCATCATTGATTTATTTTCTTTAATCTCTGTGCTGGTGAAAGAAGGCGGAGGTGCCTTCTAGCTTAACAAAGACAGCTCCCAAGTCTCTCCACGTTAGGAAACAGGTGTAAATTTAAATACTGTCACCAGGATAACACATTGTTAAGCAAAGCAGCTAAGCAGAATTCTGGGTGTCCCACTGGAGAGTGGATCGATACAGCATTTTCAAGGCCAGTTTTATGAGGCAGAAGAGTGAACCTGCTTTTCTGCAGCCTGGGGTCGGGGGTGGGTGGAGGGTCAGCACTCTGCTGCGCTGTCTCACCTGTGGTCAGAAGGGCCTGTGCCCGGGGGTTCCATTAGGTGGCACGAGGTGGGGAACCTCCAAACTTGCAGCAGAGAAGAGGCAGCCAGGGCGTTGCAGGTGGGGCCCCACCCAGACTCCCCCTCAAGGGTCTGTGCTCTGTCTCCACAGGCCGCTTGGTGCTGGCACAGTGCAGGACGCTGCTGGCCAGTGTGGGGGCTGCATGCCACTCAGACCACGGAGACCGGTGAGTGCTCTCTGCGTACTGGGTGGCATTCAGGCCACATCCAAGCTCCAGGCACCTGGCAGCTCTGCAGCCCTGCAGGAACGCAGAGAGTGACAACACTGCAGGGCCAGGGGGCCGGCTTGCAGCCTCATTGTGTGTGGGTGGGGGCACTCTGCTCGTGTGTGGCTGTGTGACCCCTCTGAGAACCAAGAATGATAAACGCCTTGGGCACAGAAACCCTGTACCCCTGGCCCGGCCTTGTGGGCCCAGCAGCTGCCATCCTGCCTCCAGGCTCCCAGGGGTCGGGGGCCTGTGCCCATGTTACCGAACCGAACTTGGGTCCCCTGCCCGCGCAGTAAAGCCAATCTACTGACACCGGGTCTTGGGGAAGGAAAGTGCTGTGTTTACTGCAGGCGCCGAGCAAGGAGTCCAGGCCGCTGGCGCTCAGACAACCTGACCATCACTGAGATGGGCTTCAGGAAAGCACTTGTAAAGGCCGGGTGAGGGGGGGCAGCAGCGTGTGTGATCACTCGCGTACAGCTCTGATTGGTTGATGGTGAGGTCCCAGGGCAGGGTCACAGGGGGCTCCAGGAGGCCTGAGGCCTACGTGCTCATGGTCATCAAGGAGTTACCGTCTTCCCTTTGGTGTGGCTTTCACACCTGTTAAACATCTCAGGACACGTGTGGGATACTGTTACCTGGGTGCTTCAGAGAGGCCCTGCAGCAGAGAACATGGGGGGTCTGCCCTGGGAAGGCCCCCCAGGGTCCTGCTCCATTCACCGAGAGGGGCCCCGGGCCAGATAACAGGGAGGCTTTGAGCTGGACCCTGAGGGGCGGGCGGAGTTGTGTGTGTGGCAGCACGGCAGCCCTTCTGACAGCTAACCCATCTCCTTGCCCCCACAGGCCATCCCCGGTGCTGCTGAGCTGCGGTGTCCCCTTGAAGTGGCCAGGAACGCCATCCGGCTCAGCGTGGGCCGCGGCACCACCCGGGCC